GTTCTCTTTAATAACCCCAGGTCTGAAGACTGTCCATGACCCTGCACTTTTTCCAATGTTTACCTTGGAGGAACTCACCGGACTAATGAAGGAACCTGTGTATGAAAATCCTACTGGAATAAGGGTCGTGAAGCGCATTATCAAGTACGCCAGGGGTGATGAATTTGAAATGGTCAACTTATTGGTCAGGTTGATCTATGAAGCCAATGCGCGATTCTCTATACTGTACCAAGTTCAAGGTGGAACGAGTAACACAAACGCTCAGGTTCATTTCATGGAACATCCGGAGTGTTAACCGCAGAATTAATGACCTACAATGTTTTGTTAAAGTTTTTAACATTGATGTAATTGGTTTACAAGAACCTTACACGTCCAGCACCCAGAAGAAAGTTGCACCCAGGATAGCTGGTATACTGCCAGACTGGGGTCACTAATTCTAAGGGGAAATACTTAACTCTAATCTTAATTTCTAAGGGTCGCTGCCACCAGACCCCCTCTGGACAGTATGTAGCTCGTTAGGTAGCGTGCAGCCTTAGGTCAGGTTTTTCATTGACCAGATCAATAAGGGGTAAGAAGGGTGAAACCACAATACGTCTTAGTTTTTTCAATTGTTCTTTCTACTTACCTCAGTTCATTTTTGGCACTACCTAACCTCAGTTCTTTTTGGTAGCATGTCGATGGTCTAGGCACATGGGTAGTGTAATTCTGATATCAGGGTCACTTGGACGGAAATAAAGGTAACTACTGTGGGAGAAATGAATACTCCTAAAATACTCAAAGAACAAGTTTATTAATATAAAATCAAAGGGGAAAAGAGATATTATTAACATATAATATACTGCCAGACTGGGGTCACTAAATCTAAGGGGATAACTTAACTCTAATCTTAATTTCTAAGGGTCGCTGCCACCAGACCCCCTCTGGACAGCATGTAGCTCGTTAGGTAGCGGGCAGAGCGGACTAGGCATTGCGTTAGGTTTTCCATTGATCAGATCGATAAGGGTAAAGAAGGGTGAAACCATAACATGTCTTCATTGATTTATTTCTTATAAAACACACTGGTAAAAAAAACACGTACAACCACACTGTGGACCATAATTCCAAGGCCTGTCCCAGGGTATAACACTGGCGCCTCTAACAATTGTTGTTGTGGTCGGTTACACTCCGACCCGAGGTGGGTTTGGGGTCCTCGGCCCACGAGGTAGAGTAGAGCCGATTAATCATGGTGAATCAGCGCCATCACTCCTATATTGACTATTGCTGGGTATCCACCGGCTCCGAGCGACCGGTGGGTTTCAATTAAGCCCACCCTTGATCTGGAGATAAACGGGAATCAGCGTCAGGGGACTGAGAAACATGACAACACCAACAAACTCTCTTGTCTAGACGACAGACGTATTTACGTTATATTACTTCTACACTGGGTGAATGACAATTCAACTGTTAAATCATGAACACTGGTGAACACTGATAATCACTACAATTGACTGAATTAACTGAAGGGCTAGGAAACACAGAACATACCTGGAGATAAACGGGAATCAGCGTCAGGGAACGCTGATTCCTCGCTGTCTCGAGCTTATATACCCCTGAGTTGCCGGTGATCGCCACTCACACAATGACAATAATTACAAACAAACTAACTGTTACTCATTCAAAGACGACCCTCAGTTGACACAGGTCTGGCGAATTACTTGGGTTGATTTACACAGACTAATTCAAGATTGAGCTTCCCAGGAGAAAGTGGAATAAACAACGCATTGATAACCGTCTTCACGAAGGCGGGGCTTACTGAGGGATTGCGAGGATAAACCCGCTCCAGAGATTCTACAAGCGCGGTGGATTTGAATATTATGTAGCGTAATATGAATTAAAACGGGTTTTTAGGAATGACAATGAGCTGCGCAGTACAATAACTACCAGGCTCAACTCCTGGGCCTATTGCAGACTCCGTATTTCTTATTTACTTATTTTTCTTATTTGCTCGACAACAAGTATTCAGATATTACACTCTTACCTTGCACAATCTTACTGGTGTCACATTACATTACATAGCAGGACCAGTTCCTTGTCCCTACTCACAATACACCGTTACATGGCAACTCCTTGCAGATTACTTTACTTCTCCCACTTTACTAGGTACTTCTCATTACATCCAGTTATAAGACCAACTGGCATATGATACTTCACAGACTGTTGGTAGTGCATAGGAGATGCACTCACAACAACACGCTAATACTGATACAAACACCTACATGGGTCCACCACCCAACATAGGGTAATTATTAACAAACACATACAACCACACTGTGAACCATAACTCCAAGGCATGTCCCAGGGTATAGCACTGGCGCCTCTAACAACTGATGACTGCTGTTGTGGTCGGTTACACTCCGACACGAGGCGGGTCTGGGGCCCTTGGCCCACGAGGTGGACCTGCCGTCTCGATCATGTTGAATCAACGACATCGTCGATATATGGCTCCCTGCTGGGAATCTACTGGCTCCGGGGCTATTGTGGGGTGATCCGAGAACCACAAATTGGATCTGGAGGCAAACGGTGAGGTCGGGGGGGGAGGGGAAGCATGAACACAAACAAAACAAATCTCTTGTCTGGGAACGACAGACATATTTATATTATATTACTCTTACACTGAGTGAATGACAATTCAACTGTTAAAGCATGAACACTGATGAACACTGATATGCACTACAATTGACTGAATCAAACTGAATGGCCAGGGAACACAAAAACATACCTGGGAACAAACGGAGAAAACAGGCGTCAGGGGACGCTAGCTCTGCCTGATCCCCTGGTATATATACCCCTGAGTTGCCAGCGATCGCTACTCATGCAATGACAGAAATAACAAACAAAACAACTGTTACTCATTCAAGGCTGACCCTCAGTTGACAAAGGTCTGGCAAATTACTAAAGTTGATTTACATAACTAATTCAAGATCGAGTTTGCTAGGAGGAATTGGAATAAACGCATATTGACAACTGTGTTCGAAGGCGGGACTTACTGGGAGGGATCCTGAGTGTAACGACTGGGAAAAACACTCTCTCCTTAATGCTATGAATACATACAATTAATATTATATAACCCGTAGCTGGGTACAATTCATTAAATAACTCCGTAACATTCATTAGGTGAGTTGTCTTTATCAATGACTCCCGTTCTCTGAGATTCTACAAGCGCGGTGGATTTGAATGTTATGTAGCGTAATATGAATTAAAGGGTTTTTAGGAATGACAATGATGTGCGCAGTACACTGGGTTTACTGCATAAAATAGTGGAGCAGAAAGTGGCCTGCTCACTTATGTAAAGAATGATCTGGTCTGTAAATGGATTGAAACTCACAATGATGAAAGTATTCACTATCAACAATTTACAGTAAAGACAGCAAACAGTCAATTTTCGCTGTATAACATCTATGTTCGGTGTAATGAGCTGCGAGCAGCCGTGTTACCAAAGCCATCAGGTAACAATGCTATGCTGTGTATGGGTGACTTTAACTCT